CAAGTTAATCCCTTCAATACTAAGGTGGCATTTTCAATATTTCCTACAATGTGAAAAAGAGAAGAGAGGGCAGCTTGAAATGCGACATTTATTTAAAAGGGAAGATTAAAAAGAAAAAAGTTTGCGAGGCCTCCCTTGATACTTCGCCAAATAAATAAATAAACAAACCAACAAATCCCAAACGTGTAGATAAATACTCGGGAAGGGAAGGGAAGTTTACCACCAAGACAGGCTGCTTCCCAGGGCAGTAACGTCGAGACTCCAGCTGGAATCCGCGCTAACAGCCCAGTACTTAACAAAACGCTCGGGGAGAGGCGCTGAAGCGGTGGCTAAACCCGCGGCCCCGGGCGCACACCTGCGCACTCCGCGGAGGTGGGGAGAGGGCGGACAGACGAGACGGGTGTGGGCAAGGAAGGGCACGGAAACTGGGCATGGCGGTGGGCAGAGCTGCTTGCCTGGCTTGGGCTCACGCACCCGCGTAACCCTGGCACCCCTCGGAGCCTTCCCAAGGAGGTCCTGGCTGGTTTGGGGGGGGGACACACCTGCGGTGCTGCGCTTACCCGCGTACGGATTTCCCGCCGGCGGCAGGTGGAGCGCAGAGGAAACCGGCTCCGGTGAGGAGCCGGGTGCTCTGGGACAGCCCCGGTACCGGGCGCGTTCGGACCCGCTCGTCTCGGCAAAGGCGACGGGTCCGGAGCGCGGCCCCGCGACAGAGGCCTTTGAGTTTCGACGAACTTTGGGCGCTGGGCTCAGGTGTCCCCGGGGTCCGCCTGCCCACGGCACCGCACCACGCACGACACAGCCACTCGCGCCCTCGCAGCAGACGGGCCCCGGGCCGGGGGCGAGGGGAGCTCAGGTGCCCCCGCCCGTTCCCCTCGGGGGCCGCCGGACAGAGCCGCAACGGGCCCCGGAAAAGACGGAGGTCGGGCAGCGCCAGGGCTGCCTCCTCCCCGAATCCGACGAGGATCGGGCTCCACTGTCCCTCCAGCCGTGAGGAAGGGAGGGTGTCCCGGGACACGGCCGTCCGCCGAGCCACCCCCGCCGGCAGCGCAGCGGGGCCGGGAGCCCGGTGGGGCTGTGGGTGCCTGAAATCCCCGACGGGGCGGGCAGGAGCGGCGCATACAGGGAGCCGCCGTTAAGTAGAGCGACAGGGACGAGGAGCCGGCGGGCGGCGGCAGGGAAGGGGCCGTGAGCGCCGAACCCCGCGGGGCGCAGCCGTACCCGAGCCGCCCCCCCGGGCACGAAGGGCGCTGCACACCCCGAGCAGGGCTGTGTGCTCTCAGGAATACGGGTTCGGGGAGCAGCTCTCAGTCCAGCCTTGACAGGCAGGGGGAGTTTGTTTAGTGCTCGTTGCAAAAGGAACAAAATCCTTTTGAAAGGGCGCTAAGTAGTTTCACGCCAAAGTGGCAGATTTGGTGAAGAATGTGGGGTGGGACAAAGCCCCGCCGTTCCCAGAGCGGCCGGGGCGCTCCGGCAAACCGCACCGGGAATTCAAGCCCACAGAAAAGCGGGAGAGCCCAAATCTCTACCCTTCCTTCTCCCTCCCGGCCCCCGAGAAGCAAAGAGAAGCAAAACCATTACAAAAAAAAAAAAAAAAAAAAAAAAAAAAGAGAGCGAGGCTTAGCCGAAATGCAGCCACAACCAGTAGCCTGGAGCTGACTTTCCAAAACGGGGGAAGGTTGCTCAGAGCCTGGCATTGTGTTTCGCAGCCTAGGAAACCCTAAGAAGCTGGTACTTTCCCCCTCCCTTCTCTTTTCTCCCAACTGGTTTGTAAATATTAACAAGATTGTGAGCTATTCTCTCACACAAAGTGGATTTTTTTTTCTTTTTTTTTTTTTTTTCTATCCTTGGAAAACTTCTTGGCTTCCCCCCACAGCTCTTCTCCCACTCCTCCCCTCTGCAAAGCTACACACCTGCTTGCAGCCACAAGGATTCAAAATCAATATTGTATTTGTCACTTTTCTGTCTCCTTTTCCTCTCTCAACAGCCCCGCTTGCCACTGAAGCGAATTGTGGATTTATGGAGGAAAATTAGCATAAATTATTACCAAATCTGTAAACGTGTGTGGTCCTGCTTGTGGGAAAGGGGGCTATTGCGAACCTTCCATGCAGAAAGGTGGTCCGTGATGGGCTCCATGCAAGAGCTGAATGGCTATTGCAAGAAATAGATTTCCATTGGGCTTGCACATCGATATAATTGACTTATGTGTATTTTATACAGTTTTCCCAACACTTGCCCTGAGCTCCTTATTTGAATTAGGCTTCAGAAACACGTCTATTTGTTTTGGTTTTCCACACAATGGATCTGGATTCACTTGCCCACTCCCCAGTGCTGGCTTTCGCAGTAAAACGCAAACGCTACAAGTAGCATTTAAATCCTATATTGCCCTGTCATCTGTTGCGTGCTTAACACGAGGAGAAACTTTGGGTATGAATTACCGGGATGGCTTTGCCTGCCCTATCCCTCCGCTCACGCATTCCTTTGCACTGGAAAAAGAAAAATCGGGCGCCTTGCAGCCGTACATCCTTCGCCCTCCGAGTAGCAAATGACAACGGAAGTTGACTTTTCTTTAACTTTACAGCTTGCGGGTTCCCATTTGCGCCGGCGGTTGGTTTGTTTCTCTCTTCGAAAAGAAAAGGTACCGGCAAAAGGAGGAAGAAAATAATTTGTCAGCTTCTGAATTTTATTTACTCCTGCACCGTTTCCGAGCTCTGTTTCTGACAGGCATTCCAGGAGGGAACTTGGGCTAAGAGACAAAATTCGAACTGAGGGGTGGTAGAAGTTGGGGAGGGGGGGGTCGGAGGTGTCTATTAAACCCACATATTTGGGCGCTCTCAGTACAAAAATATAAGTCTTCTGCCCGGTGTCCTAGGGGACGCTGGGAGGAATCTGTCCTCATTTCAAAGTAGTGTCTTTCCTACCCTCTAACAAACGTCCATCGACTCATTGCCTCTTACCCAACCCCCCCCCCCCAAAAAAAAAAAAAAATCCGATTGTAAGAATCTGATGCTGTGGTACAGGATTAAGAGAAGGAATGGACTTGGGAAGGTGACACTGTGGGGACCAGTAAAAAAAAAAAAAAAAAAAAAAAAAGTTAAAAAAAAAAAGTTTGGAAGCTGCCTTGCTTTCCTGCCCGGCTGGCGGGAAGCACCGCGGAGCCGGTTAACCGAGCAAGGCAGCCCCCGGGCTCTGAACCGCACCAGCACCCCCGGGTGTCCTCTGCAAGGGGGGTGACATGTGGCAGGTCTCCCCCCGAAAGGGCTCGTTAGCTCGGCAACGCGGGGCCGAGGTCGGCTTCTCGGATTCCTAGAAACACAATTATTTGCCTATTATTCTCTAAACGACATCCTGCCCCGAGAGAGAGGGATTAGATGGGACCGAGGGCAGCCGGGTTGGAAGGAGGGGAGCGCAGTTTAACACACACGACGTCGTAGCTAGTTACAGTGTGAAATGCCTTTTCCAGCTGCTGCCAGGTTTCAGGGAGCCCTGCTTGGTGGGGACTGTCCCCCCGAGAAGACTCGGCCGTGCCGGCAGAGCCCGTGTGGCAGCAGCCCGCGTCGCACAGGCAGCCGGCGCGGCGCTCCCTCCCCCACCCCAGCTATTTTTGCTGAATTAAGAAGGTGACATTATTCTTTTCTTCAAGTACTTCTGTTAATATTGAAAAACGTGCGCTTGCATTTCAAGCGGGAGCGCTCAGCCTCAGCAGCCATTTCAATATTAATGAAATTGTTTAATCTCCTAAATTCATCGTGTTTAAGTTACGTTTTGGTGAGTTATTGACCGACTCCGAAAATATTGTTAATGGAGTGGATGTGTATTCACCACAAAGGCTCTTCCTTCCAGGGCTTGCAGCTCCCGAGACAATCTTTTATTCTGGCTCTAGGGTGACAGGATGCACCGCAGCCTCGGGAATACACATCATCCAAACTTCCCTCCTGTACCAGGCCAAGCCCGGGACCTTCCGGGCCTGATCCCCGCCCTCCCGGGACACAGGGCTGGCGGTGGGGCCGCTCGCCTGGGCTGCGGCTCCGGGATGGGGCCTGGGCTCCCGGGGAGGAGACAGCACAGCGGAGCAGAGGAGCCGCAACTCGGGTGTTGCACATCCTGCCTGCTCCCACACACGAGTGCGCACCGAGAGGCACACCAGCACACCAACGGCCTGAGACACAGCGCGGAAATCCCGCGGAAGGCGTCAGGCTGACGAGATGTAGCACAGTGACCGGTGACACGCACCGGTTACCCCAAACCAGCTCTGCGGGACCCTCCACCCCGAGCTGTCCGCCCTGGCCCCCGGCTCCGGGAGCTGGAGGGCGGCGTGGAGGGCAGCTCGGCACCGAGCACACCGGGGCTCTGCTCCGCCCGCGGACCAGGAGCCCGGCCGCTGCGATAGATTTTAAGGCGACTCCCACAGTTTTGCACCAACAGGTCCGCGGAACTAGAGCAACGGTGCTGCCCGGGCTGGGGGGGTGGGTGGGAGGGATGGGATGCGGAGGGCGTGTGTGAAGAAACTTCCCGGGGCGGTTACGGAGGACCCCGATCTTTTTCTCTCCTCGAAAGAACCTTCGCTCAGGGAGAGAGGATTTGGCAAAGAGAAAGTCTCTCGTTACAGGGAATAAGGCTCGCCTTAAGTTAGCCAACAATACAAATCAGATAACAATGCAGAACAAACAGAATACCACAGCCAAGCAATTTCCATGTCAAACATCCCACCGCTCAGTACCTCCATTTGTAAGTGTGAATTGCAGACTAAGCTTCCTGCAAAGTCCACAGAGAGGTTAGTGCATACCTTCCCCCCCACCCCCCAGCCACCGGGTACCATCGCACTGCAATTCCGCTGGCGGAGCCTTTTCACCCCTCGCCTTGTCTTCAAATGGAAATGATTCCCATTGGCCCAAGGTGTCCATGTAAATAGGTGTAAATGAAACCAGATTATGCCTTTCTCTCCAGCCCCCTCCTCCCCGCTCCCCTCCCCCTGCTCCCAAGGCGATTGTCATATGATAGCAAAGAAGTGGCACATTAATGAAGCGCCTCTACAGGGGTCTTTTCTGCTCATGTCACCACATAAAACTATCAGATGGTTAGAGGAAGGACATGGAGGCAACTACTTAGCTCATCGCGGCTGCAGAGAAGCAAACAAGCCTCTGCTACAGTCCAGCTGCCGGTGGTGTAAAAGAAGCTGATTCAGCCCGCGGAGGAGAAGGGAGGGGTGTACAAGAGGATTCCCAAAACCAAGCTAGCTCGCTGTCTCCTCGGGACTAAACTGGAGCAGAGTGGCCGGGAAAGGAGCGAGAGACACGCCGGAGGATCGGGGTGGGAAACAGCCCGGACTCCCAGCTGCGTCCCGGATGCGGACTGTCAACTTCCAGCAACTTTAAGGTGGGCATATGCAGGGCTAGCATGGAGTGGGGTGGGAGACGAGGGGAGGGGATGGGTTGGGGGGGGTGTCCCCTTCTCCACCTCGCCGAGACCAGAAGGCAGAGCTACCGCTACAGTAACTTTACGGGCGCGGGCTGCTGCGGAGAGGCCAGACTGAAGGAGGCCGGAGCTGGGAGAAGGGCACGTCGCTTTTCCCTCGCCGGCGGCGCAGAGCTCCGGGTCGGTTTCCCCTGCCCCCATCCCACCCTCTCGAGGGCTGAGCTCCGCCGTGCCCCTTCCCCGTGCCCTTCTTTCTCCGGCCCGGCCCCACACCCACCCGGTGCCCCGGCCGGGTGTCGGTGCAAAACCTCTCGGATTGACCCGTCTCCCCCCACCCCCGACCCCCTCCTTGTCGCTGCCCTTCTGCAGATCTCCGCGGGTCCCCTAGCGAAGATGCCTCGCCCGGGCAGAAACACTTACAGTGATCAGAAGCCTCCCTACTCCTACATCTCGCTGACCGCCATGGCGATCCAGAGCTCCCCGGAGAAGATGCTGCCCCTCAGCGAGATCTACAAGTTCATCATGGACCGCTTTCCCTACTACCGGGAGAACACGCAGCGCTGGCAGAACTCCCTCCGCCACAACCTCTCCTTTAACGACTGCTTCATCAAGATCCCGCGCCGCCCCGACCAGCCGGGCAAGGGCAGCTTCTGGGCGCTGCACCCCAGCTGCGGGGACATGTTCGAGAACGGCAGCTTCCTGCGCCGCCGCAAGCGCTTCAAGGTGGTCAAGTCGGACCACCTGGCCCCCAGCAAGCCGGCGGACGCGGCGCAGTACCTCCAGCAGCAGGCGAAGCTGCGGCTCAGCGCCCTGGCGGCCACCGGCACCCACCTGCCCCAGATGTCCACGTACAACCTCGGCGTGTCCCAGCCCTCCAGCTTCAAGCACCCCTTCGCCATCGAGAACATCATCGCCAGAGAGTACAAGATGCCCGGGGGCCTCGCCTTTTCCACGATGCAACCCATGCCGGCCGCCTACCCCCTCCCCAACCAGTTGACTACGGTGGGCAGCTCCATTGGCACGGGCTGGCCCCACATGTACGGCTCCGGCATGATCGACACCGCCACCCCCATCTCCATGGCCAGCAGCGAGTACGGCGCCTACGGCGTGCCCATTAAGCCGCTCTGCCACGGGGGACAGACTTTGCCGGCCATCCCCGTCCCCATCAAGCCTACGCCCGCCGCGGTGCCGGCGCTGCCCGCCCTGCCCGCGCCCATCCCCACCATCCTCTCGAACTCCCCGCCCTCCCTCAGCCCCACGTCCTCGCAGACGGCCACCAGCCAAAGCAGCCCGGCCACCCCCAGCGAGACTCTCACCAGCCCGGCGCCCGCCCTGCACTCCGTGGCGGTGCACTGACCCGGGCCGCCCGCACGGACTCCGCCGCCCCCTTTCTCCCAAAGTTTCCTCGGAGCTCTCCTCCCTCCCCTTCTCTCCATCCTTCCGCTTCTTTCCTCCCTCCTCTCTTTTCCTCGAAAGCAGAGACAGCTCCCCGCGGGAAGCCGAGGTGTGCCGTTGGCGTGAGCCGCCTTTCCGCCTCGCCCGGTCAGCCCTGCCCTCCCTTCGCGTCCCGGCTTCTCTCCCGCTTCTGAACTTTGTTTTCCGCTCTTCCGAGGCAAAACGAACCGCCCCGGCCCGCCCCCCTCCCCGCCCGGTAGGAACTGCCACACGCATCGCTAGTTTTCCAAAAGTACTTCAGGCATCTTCGCTTTGCCGGGGACCGGGCGAGCCCGGCCCGGCGATGCCTCTTTCCCTTCCTTTGTCTGGGGGAGAGCAGGGGTTTATACAGGACCGATCTCTAGAACCACAAACGTTGGGAAATGGCTGCAGCCTCACTGCACGGGAGCAGCGGCGTTTCCAGCCTCCGAGCGGCAAACGCTTGGATCTTGGAAACGCCGCAAAGCGCTCGTGTCCTTTGTGTGGGTGCGCGTCTGCCCCTGCGTGTCCCGCTGTCACGCAAAAGGCAGGATTTCCGCAGGAGGAGGCTCAGCCGGCCGGGGGAAGGAGCGGTGGGCTGGCAGGCAGGGCCCCGCAGGTGCGGGGGGCGGCGGCGGGCGCGCTGAGGAGGCCGGGGGCGCGGGGCGGTGCGGGGCGAGCGGGAGCAGGACGCCGTGCAACGGGAAGGCACCCGCTCACTCACCCCATACCTATACTGTTTACAAAGCGCCTGTTTTAATGTAAATACTGAGCTGGCATCTGTACTGTGAATCAGATGAGGTCCCCTTCGCAGTACCTGTTGTAACGGGAACGTGTACTGTGGTTTTCAGGTGGAAGAGAAAGAGAAGTTGATTTGTCTGTTAACTTCTGATTGACCTGAAGGTTTGGGGAGCTGAAGGTTTCTTTGTTTTATAAATTTTGTAGCTATTTATTTCATAGCTTAAAAACAAACAATAATAATAGTAATTAAAAACACCTGTCACCAAGCACACAACCCGGCACAGCTTAAGAAAAGCTGCTGAAGTCACTGGTAAAAGGTGGAGAAGTAACACAACAGCAGGTACAAACTGTGGAGGTCATCCTGATTTCTGCTGGAGCTTTGCAGACAAGAGAGAGGGGGCTAGGGAAACTGTAAATGTTTGTGCATAGGAATGATTATAAAATGTGTAAAATGCACTTTTGTTTGATATACTCCTTTCTAGTTTTAGGTAGTTTGCTGGAAACTGAACTGATGTTCTGTTGTGAACTGCTTAAGTTAAGAAAAAAAAAAAAAAAGGAAAAAAACCCCCACCCACCCCATCCCACAAACGGCATTAGTGTCTATTGAAACTGTAAAGACATTTGTTTTAACTTTTTTTTTTTTCTCCTGTACAGAATAAGCATGGCATTTTAAATATTGGTGTTCTTGTTCCCAGCATGTGTGTTTTAAGACAAAGGTTGAAAAAGTGTCAACGTTAAATTATGAACCAAGTCGTCCAAATAATATTTTCTCATTAAAATATGTAAATGCAGATTTAGTTTCTTATCTGTTTTTTTTAAAGAGTTTACACAAGAGCAAAAGCATTAGTTCATGAAAAAGGAATGACGTTATTCCAATACTTAGATAATCTAAACAGCCTTTTCACGGGAGGTTACTATAAATATAGTAATTAACATACCAGAACAGGTTAGATAAAATTGTTATTATTGCCGGTTTACCAAAAAGGTAACATACGTAAGCGTGTTCTGTGGTTTTTATATCTATATATCTATACATATACCTATAAGCATAAACACACATATATGCATCTGTGTCCTATCATTTATACCGAATATAAACACGTATTACATTTACGCCTGTGTGTATGTATATTTATCATCTATATACTCCTGGCTAAATTTTCTCTAAAAAGTATAAAAACTACTAAGCTTCTACAACACAGAGCAAACACAAAAATCTTTAAAGAATTAGTTACTTTTTAAGACTGAGTATACTGAAATTTTGTCTGTTGTGTTTTTTCTTACAAGTGGCATCTCAAAATCTTTTTAGAGTAAAAGTGAGCTATTGTAGCCTTTCACCTGTCTTTTAAACTTCCTCAGGCACTGCATTTACTCCAGCCACTGCTATAAATTCTCCACCTCTATTTATCACACTTAACTAAAAACGGTAGGTTGCAAGCTGTAACACTTAAAATTGTATCCGTTTTTCTGTAAGCCAATATACAGTCCCTTTTTAAAAAGAAGTAAGGGCAAAGCAGTTACAGTGGAAACTGGATTCCGGGCACCTTCCAGGGGGGCTTCTCCAATTCTTTTAAGCGATTTTGCAAGGATTCTGCAACTCCTGAAAATGATAGGAGCGATCTAGTGAAATCAGTAAATAAGTGTATCAGAGATGAGGCACTCTGCGCCAGGAGTGCAGTTACGAGACACCCGAATACTTAAAGGCTTATTAGCAAGAAAACGACATTGTATTCTAATGAACCGACAGGATTCACTAATTCTACGGCAATGATGTTACAGGGGTTTTGTCTCTGCCTGGTCTTTCTCAGAATTTCTGGACCATAAACAGAGCAAGTGACATCCCCCATTTCCTTACTACGTACCGCAGGTCCTTGCAAAAGTTTTAAGATTAATGTAGAGGGTAATTAATCCAGTTGCGACCATTTTTTTTTTAAGAGAACGGATCCCACACACAGAAAAAAGGTGGAAAATACATGAATCATTGGGCTGATTAAAATGCATGAAGCTGCTAAAGCTTGTCAGATGGGGGACAACTGAACTCATTCATCAAGTCCAACCCACGATTATATCAACACGATCAGCTAAAGAAAGCATTCAAAACTTATCACCAGATCAATGGACACATAACTCGACAAACTTTTCCTAAACAAGCGATGACCTACATTTTTAGACGACGAGGACTCTTTTTCTCTTTCCTTTCTTTTTTCTTTTAAGATCTAGCAGTCAGAACAAATCCTCAAAGATGAAATCCGAGCTCAGCTAAGACGACGAAGCTGCACTTTCAGGGTCTTTTTTAAACTATATAGTAATCAGCGGAGATAATGACCTGAAAAGATTATACCCCAAATCAAAATATTTTCAAAAGGTGCAATAGCTTCCTCACTACATAATCCGTTAGAAAGTCTCCCAACCGAACTTTTAAAGTGCCATTTTCCTCTTTATCTCTGCGATGGCCCGGGACTGCCCAAGCCCGAGGACCTCCCTCACCGCGGCCGCCAGCGCGCAGCCCGCGGGGCCGGCACCGCGCTCCTACCGCACCTCTGCCCGCGCCCCGCAATGTGGCGATGCTTATTTCAAACAAATACGCAGCTCGGCGCGTCGCTTGAATTTACTGCTTTGACTTGTTAAATCTCCCTAATGGCTCAAGTCCAATGTCAATAAACACAGATCTGAAATAGAACAGCAAGAGACAACAGCGCGGAGGGAAGGGGCGAGGGGGGCGGGGGGGGGCAGTGAATCAGCCACGGCCGAGATCTCCGGCGCGT